AGATCTAATAGTTATACGTATTGAATATGTATTTGTGCGTCAGATTAAAACTTGGCGTCAGATTAAAACCAACGTGCGTCAGATTAAAACCATAAGGCCAGCATTAAATGATCTGCAATAATCGGCCTTGCTAAATCCTAGTCTTCACCTCGCACGACATGGTACACTTGAAGTAAAAATACTGTAATTAAAAAAGTGGAAACTTTCAACCTATGATCAATATAATTTGGCCCGGAATTATGGAACAATTTTTTATGCAGTTAAACGGTTCCAATATTTATTTTTCATAAATAATAATAATAATAATAAATAAACCTTTCGACAAAGTTTTCTTTTGAAATTCGAGTCTAAATATTTAATATAGTTTTTAAAAAAGTAGAAATCCTTATACAATTAATTGAGAATTATGATCTAATTCTCAGTCTCGCAAGGAAATTGAAACTAGAAAAGGATAATAGAATTCTTAGTAAATTAACCAGGGTTGTAAACAGTGTTGGCTTGACCAGACCAGTTTGACCATTTGACCAGACCAATTTGACCAATTTGACCAGTCCAGTCAAAGGATTTGTACTGGTCAAATTGATCAAATGATTATTATAAAATAAAATATTATATTTAAAATAAACTTGACCAGTTTGACTAATTTGACTAATTTGACCAATTCGATCAGACCAATTTGACCAGCAAATTTTTGAAAATTTTTGGTCGACCACTAATTTGCCCAACACTGGTTGTAAACCATCGGTAAATTACAGGTAAATTGCCAGGTAAGTCACTATAACTTCGGGTAAGTTACCGAATTACTGCGGAATTAAGAAAATTTTGGGCGGCTTTAAGATATAGTTTGGCTGGCATTAATACTATTAGGTAGACTATGAATAAAAACGAGCAAAAAACTCGTCACTCGACGTCCCAGATAATTGTTATCTTAAGGTTTTTTTTAAAAAAAAAACAAGCAAAAATTTAGAGAGAGAAAACCACCGGTAACTTATCTGTAGGTAGGGACGTGTAAAAATATCGATATTCAATAAATCGATATTTTTATACTGTATTTGGTGACCAGAATTATAATAATTCTGGCCAAAATTTAAAAATTTTAGATAACGATAAGGCCATGCCAAGTTAAAACTATGTTTACATAACTTTTCTTTTTAGCCTCAAATAGAGAGAGTAATAAACATCAAAATATAAAAATTATATTAACGGTTCAAAAAAAATTTTTTTTTTAATCAGTCAGCCACTGTGTTTAAAAATATATAATTTTGTATTGCCATTATAATAAACTAAAATATATAAAAATATTATTAATATATTACTGCAGCTAGAGGAGGAGCATTTACGATTGATAAAGGTTCCTGTGATATATCTATATAGGTATAAAGTATAGAAATTTATCTTTAATTCATATCACAAATCAATCATGTTAAAAAAAAAAAAAGTTAATGATACTCACCTATTTAGATTAGTTTCCATGAATGAATAATCCTTGACTAGCATCCATTAATATAATAAAATTAAGTATAATAATAACTTACTATAACGATAAGAATTATTTCTTGTAAATTACTTACAAATACAGTGCAATCTAAGCGCATAGCTTAGACAAAAACCTGCCAAACCATCACTCATAGAATTCCGTAGACCTTAATAATCTTTTGACCTGAATAATCTTTCGACCTGAATAATCTTTTGACCTGAATAGTTTTAACATTCAAGTTGTTTACTAACTTTAAGCAAATTTATCTCAACAACCAGCTAATCAAATTCGATGAATTTTTATTTTATTTTAATTCTCTGTAACAGTATAATTCGATTAAAAAATTTTTCATCTAATTTAATCACGTTGTTGTCGAGATATCTTCGCTAAAAGTTTAAAAATATTTTAATTTACAGGGGGTATTAATAGTAAAATTGGTTGTGTTTGCATAGACAATCATCGAACATTGGATCATCATCGAACATCTTGATGCGCAAATAGATGCAATTAATTGTTAAATTATACTGAGATTTTTTATAAGCAACACGAATATTTTCTTCTCGTTTTTTTTTTTTTTTATTTTCCAAAAAACATTTTAAAAAAAAAATGAAGACTAAAACAATTGAACACAATAAATACACCCGATGAACAACAAGACGTGTTAAAGTTCAACATGTAGGTATTTGCTTTGTGAAATCACCAAGTGTGATTCCTTACAGGATCAACCACTAAGATACTAAGTGCTGTAGGTGGTTTTAGCCTCTGCCCACAAAAACAAATATTTGAGCTTCTTTTAATAGTAATAAGGTTTATTAATTCTGGAGGAGGAATTAGTTATGTAAACCTATAATTTGCTTTTGTGAGATCAGCCGAGTTACAGTATGTTGCAAGGTTGATTCCTTACAAGATTAAAATGAAACCTATATTTGATTTGTGCGATCATCCGTCAGGGCTGATCCCTTACAAGCTGACCACCAGCATGCGTTAGTATTTGTTGACTACTTGGGTTGTTTGGCAAAGAGTGGTTGTTCTATGTCCACAGGAGCAATGTAACTTCTTTATTATAAAAGAAACTTATATTTGCTTTTGTGAGATCATCCAGCATTCGCTGATCACTTGGGTTGTTTGGCAAGAGTGGTTGTTCTATGTCCACAGGAGCAATGTAATAACAATGATATCGCTACTTAACGAACACTCGTTAACCATTTTTATTATTTTTATTATGATATAAAGGTAAAACCTTTGGCAAAAGAGCCTCAACAACGACTTGTTAGGCCAAAAGACAACGTAGTTATCTCGCGCAAAATAAACATAGCATACAGTATATTCGTAACCTCACGTAAGGTTACATTGCGCGATTTTATGTGAGTCATATATCGCGCAACTTGCGCAAAGTCGCAAGTGAGATGAAATCATCATGCCGCGCGAGATTCATCTTTAGGTTTAAACCCGATTTTATAATAAGTTTTAAATCAAAATGAATGTCTATATCGATATAGTTATCGGGTTGCTCCAGATTTATGAAAATAAATTTAAACTCACTCCAACTTGGATTTGAAGTAGGCTACACCATTAACAAACCTAGTAATATCGATAAATTTTCCAGACAAATTTGCCTTGGGATAACATATTTATAATGAAATTTTGATTATCTGACCATACTGCCAGAATGAGTGAATAAGTAGATAAAATTTAGTGGTTTTGGTTGACCGTATAATTTTTAATCATCCAGAGTTACTATATCGATATAGGAAGCAAAGAATTAGGGAAGTATTCTGGCGCTCATGTTCGACTTTCCGGCACTTTTTTAAGTTTTATTGGATTTATGAGCTGAGTCTCAACGCAATATCAGTAGTTATTGCCGATTTTTAATATTTAATAGTTTAGTCTTTTTATTTCATATTTTCATCCCTCATTTCAATTATTGATCCATAAGGATGTATAATAATCAATTGTTGTTATAATTTACAAAATGATACATTAAAATAATCCATATATTCTACCAGTTTCTGTGTCTAAATCAACATCAAAGAAACATGGACGCTATTAAGTTTAAAGTTAAAAATTAATACTATTCACATAAATGTTAAAAAAAAAAAAAAAGATTATATTTCTAAAGAAATTACTCACAGTAGGTAATCCAGGCATAGTTTGCATTTCCCCTAACAGCGGATATAAAAATCCTGCACCAACTGAAGCTCTAATATCCCGTACTGGTACTATAAATCCTGTAGGCACACCTTTAAGTTTTGGATCATGTGAAAGAGATAAATGCGTTTTGGCCATACATATTGGCAGATTTGCAAATCCCTGATTTAAATTTATATGCAATATGGTAACAAAATTGGTAATTAATTATTTTTCAATGAAATATTTTAAAGAATTACCTGTTTAGTATATCTCTCAACTTTTTCAATAGCTTTCTCACTCAATTCTATTCCATCAGCTCCATACATTTCTTTTGCAATAATCTCAATTTTTTCTACAATTGGTCTATTTACATCATATAAAAATCTGAATTCTTGCTTCTCAGATTTATCGGTTGTTGCTTTAATGATCGCCTTTCCTAAATCTATCGCACCTTCCCCCCCTAATGCCCAATGTTCTGCCGGTACCGCATCATTTGCACCTGCATCTATTGCAATCTTGCGAATTAATTCAAGTTCAGCTTGCGTATCAGTTCTATATCCAAACGATCACGTAAAAAAAAAAAAAAAAAAAAAAAAAAAGCGTTTATAAATTAAGATATTTTAAATTGAGTCGTTGAAGAGCTACTCACGTGAACTTATTAATAGCAACTACGACTGGTAACCCATATTTTTTTGCGTTTTGGATATGCTTAACAAGATTAACACATCCTTTTTCCAATAATTCAAGATTTTCACTTAAATAAGTTCCGTGCAATGGGTTTCCGGGTGTAACCTGAAAATTTTTTGAAATATATATGTACATAAATATATTACTATATTTCCTGTGCACCAAAATATCTATTTGCATTACTAACCTCAGGTCCACCACCGTGCATTTTCAAGGCTCTAACTGTAGAAACGATAACAACACAATCAGGTATCAGCCCTGAAAGTCTGCATTTGATATTAAAGAACTTTTCCATTCCAATATCGGCTCCAAACCCTGCTTCAGTTATTACATAGCCTTCTTCGCTTCCTTCCAATGGACTACCATCGGCATCACATTCAACTCCCACCAATTTCAGTGCAATTTTATCTGCTATTATAGAGCTATTCCCATGCGCAATATTTGCAAATGGACCAGCATGAACAAATACAGGAGTTCCTTCTAATGTCTGCATAAGGTTTGGTTTGATTGCATCTTTCATTAACACAGTTAATGCACCACCTATACCAAGATCATCTGCTGTTATAGAAGAGTCACCAGCTTTGTTGATGGCAACTACCATTCTACCTAATCTTTCTCGCAAGTCTTCGAGAGATGTACTTAATGCGAGTACAGCCATACATTCAGAGGCTACCGAAATGTCAAATCCTGTTGATCGTGTTTGACCTTTCTCTGTTGGATGTTGACCTATGGTAATGCGTCGTAAGAATCGATCATTTGTGTCAATTACTCTTTGCCTAAATTTATTTTAAATAACCAATTAATGCCACATTAATAATATTATATACCAATGAATGTACAAAAATTTATAATAATAACCATGTAATTGTTTCAGGATTAATGTCCAGCCTAACAAACTTGCTAATCTCTTCAGGAGTTAAATCATTAGGATTGGTCTTATCAATTCCAAGCTTTTGTAATCGCTTTAACATTACAGGGGCAAAGACGCGAACACCATTTTTAGCAGGGCATAGACGATTGAAAAGAGCCTAAATAATGGGATACATATATATTAAAAAGAAAGAAATAAAAAATTTAACATGTAATTTATTTCTTTTATGTTACCTTATCTGTCTGAGTATTTTCGTGAAACATTCGTGCATCAATCGCAGCAGCTAAGGTATTCTTAAATTTAGTTGTAAATATTAACCATGGGTAACATAACCATAAAATTACCTAACAGGTTGTTTGCTGCAGTAACGGCATGTATATCTCCTGTTAAATGTAAATTGAATTCATCCATCGGTATGACTTGAGCATATCCACCACCTGCAGCACCTCCTTTTATTCCAAATGTTGGTCCTTGTGAAGGTTGCCTGACACATGCAAATGAAAGCTTTCCTAAATGTGCACCCAACGCTTGTGCTATACCAACGGTAGTTGTAGATTTACCTTCACCTAATGGTGTTGGTGTTATACTATAATATGATTTAATATGATTTAATATGTTAATAACTAAATTTTATAAAAATTAAATAATGAAACATAAAACTCATGTAATTTCTAAAAAACAAACCCAGTTACAACAACGTATTTTCCATTTTTTCGCGAATTGAGTCTTTCAATAACTGAAAGATTTATTTTAGCTTTGTACTTTCCATATAATTCAAACTAAAAAAAAAAAAAAAAGAGGGATAAATTTTAATCTTTAGTGCATAATTATATTTTTCAGTATATATTAAGTCTTACCTCATTGTGAGTAAGTCCTAATTCTTCAGCCAACACTTTAATAAGTTTAGGTGTTTGGGAAGTTGCAATATCGATATCGCTTGGAACAGGTACATGTCGTTCTAAGGCTAATGTGGATATCTTACGTTCATTACTTTCTTTCAGAAACCTTTTTGCGCTTTCCACTGTGTTTTGCAGTAACATTGCAACAGTCATAGGACCTACACCACCAGGAACTGGTGTTATATGTGATGCTACTGTGGAGGCTGATGAAAATTCCACATCACCCACCCACCGAATGCCAGTTTTTTTAGTGGAATCTAATAAAATAGATAAATAATTAGTCAATAAATCAGATAATTGTAAAGAACAAAAATTTTAAATACCTTTAATCGCATTAGTTCCAACATCGATAACTACTGCACCAGGTCTTATCCAATCGCCCTTTATGAATTCAGCTTTTCCAATGGCTACCACTAGAATTTCAGCAGTTTTGACCTAGAGATTAAAAAGTTGATCAATGTCAATTAGATATAGATGGAAGTTAAAAATTTTTTGATAAGTAAAAGAAAGAAGCATACAATCTCAGGAAGGTTAGCTGTCTTAGAATGGCACAATGTAACCGTAGAATTTCTTTTGGTTAAGAGAGTAAATACGGGAAATCCCTTATAATCCAATTATTTAAACAAAGAATTATGGTATATTCTACTATCATATAAATTATTATTACAAAAAAAAAAAAAGGTCAAGTTTACCACAATATCACTGCGGCCGACCACAACGGCATGCTTACTCGAAATATTAATTTCTAATACACGAATGATTTCAATAATTAACATGGATCAATGACAATTTCATTAATAAATATTGCGATCTCATACCGGTCTGGTCCAATAATTCGATAATTCCTTTGGGAGTACATGGTAAAAATAGAGGATCGCAATTTCTTTTTGCTAACCTTCCGATATTATATGCATGAAATCTAAAATGGTTTAATAAATCAATTAAAAAGTTAATTAATAAAAACGTTTCATTCTATGTAAATAAGTATAATTAAGGATAAAGGATCAGATTACCCGTCTACATCTTTTTTTGGATCAATAGCTTCAAGAACATATCTTTCATTGATATGTTCTGGTAAAGGAAGTTGAACTAACACGCCATGAACCGATGGATCATGATTTAATTCTCGGACCAATCTCAAAAGCTATTTGTGATAACTTCATATTAGTATAGATAGAAAAAAACTCGAGGAGTATATAGGAAAAATGTAACCTCATCCGCGGTAATTGATTCGTCTTTCTTTTGTAAAATAAAATTAATTCCAGCCTAGAAACCAATTTATTTCGGAATATTAGTGATGATCATCGATCACGTGAATTATAACGATTGTTACCTCTTTGGCAGCTTGCTCTTTCTGTTTCACATACGCTACAGAATCTTCCCTATTTCCAACCTGAACAATCGCAAGTCGAGGCTTAAAATTAAGATATTTCTGTTTCAATTGGTAAATTTCATCGCGTATTTTTTCTCGAATGGATCTATATTTTATTTAAAAATCACAAGTTATATTACAGTATTTTTGTTTTTTATTCAATTTTACGACAATTTATCATATTCCATTGGCTTCATTGTCCAATCATATTTATATTATTAATATATATAAGTTGCAGTATGTAATTGCGATATCTCGTGATCCAGTGATCAGAATCAAATTATTTTTATATTATTAGATTTGTCTCATTAAGACGAATCGAATGATCATCCGATTCTGATCACTGGATCACGAGATATCTTCATTTAAATAAAGAACCAATGTTTATAATTTAGTCTTCATAGTAACATGCTAAAA